GTGTAAGCACGGATCAATATTCCAACATATCGCAAAAGCCACTCCATGAACCCACATGCATATACTGTACATACGGATGCACAGAGATACACAAGAACAAAGCTGACACACACAAACACACACACATTTCATCCCACATGCTCTGTAAATAGAGAGCAGGATGTTGCAGACATTTGGGTGCATGAACAAACAAGAGATGCTCCTAGAAAGACAGAGATAGAGAAAGCAGGGAAGGAGAGACAGAAGAGAGAGAGGGGCAGAGAGACAGAGAAAATGAAGACAGAGAGAGAGAGAGAGGAAAGGAGAGCTGGGGGTAGGTGGACAGATGAAGTGGTGACTCAGGAATGAGATATGAAAAGAAAAGATTCAGCACTTGGAATTATTCTTCCTCCTCCTCCTCCTTTCTCTTCTCTCATTCTCTCTGCGGACAGCAAAGGTAGCGTGAGACAGACATGGATCTCACCCTGACCTTCGTCCTTTTTCCTATTCACTCCACCCATCTTCACCTCTCCTCTCTCTCCCTCCTATCCTGCCTCTTTTATCCCTCTCCTCTTCTCATTTTGTCCTCATGCAGCAGCGTGTCCAGAAGTCTGCCACTCTTACTTTGTGAGAAGCAACAGTCACCAAGCCGTCAAGATTGTGGTTGATGAAAGAGAGGATATTCAGCAGATGGGACACGCACCTTCTGCCTGCAGAATTTTTGATATGAAAGTATAATATGAAAGTGAAATAAAAAAAATAATACTAAAATGAAATACTACTGTGGTTGGCACTGTTGGCTCACTCCAAAAAAGAATCAGTTTGAAAATGAAATATTACACCTACACTTTTTTGTAGCTTTTAACTCCTGCTATCATTGTTTGATTCCTGTGATGACGCTGTAATATTTGACACTGGATGCTTCCAGTCAGTCCCAGTGAGTGTCCTCTCTGTGATTTTGATGAGCGTGACAGAATGAAATCAGTTTTATGTTTGAGTTTAAAGAGGCTCTATGCAAAATAAGTTGTCTGCACACAGTACCCAACATGGGGGTGGCTGAGCTGGCAGCTAGGAGCTAATGGTGCTAACTAGATAAACAGCACTAAACAACGACAACAGTGCCGACAGAGTTAATGGTGTTAATCAGAGGGTGGGAGCTATGCTTCCCAGATGCCGCAGTCCCGATGTCAGTAATAACCGCCATATGAGCGCAGTGCAAAGCAGCGGCGATGAGCTAGCTAGTGGGACACATCTGCCTCAATCAACTGAAGTCGTCAAATAGTGGCGCTATGTCAGTGGATGATCGCATTAGATACCAACGCACAAAGGCACCCTCCGCGGCGTGATGAAACGCACTGGTAACAAGGTAATATGTAGCAGGAAAGTTCCTATAGGACAAACGGGATGGGAGGTGGATGAGTCCAACATTCCCAGGACTTTCAGCTGGGAGCCCGCTGTTTACTTCCCATGTGAATGTTCGGCTAAACCATGATGTTTTTTATCTGAACCTAACAATGCGCTTCTGTTGCACAAGGAAATAAATACGAGGTGTTTTGCCGACATTGTACGTTTATTTTGAAAAAGACTGTATGCATCCAATGAGCAGCAACTATACATTTCCTGTGAAAGGAAATGTGTATTTTTAAATGATGCAATGAAGCCCCAGGAGCAGTGCCAGGCTTTGATGCCATTTGATATAGTGGCTAAACAACAGAGTTACAACTTTCGACTTTGTTGCGTGATGCCATGGGACAAAAAAGGATTTTTCCCATAGACGTACATTGTAAAAGAAATGTCTGTAAAATAATAGATCTGTTTTTATGAGCATCACAACCCCCATAAAATGACTCGTTTCACTATCAGGATTTGATCCATTTGGGCTAAAGTGGCTCAGCCAGCAGAGGTCTCTGGTGCACTCCTTCCAGTGGGCCCCATGATGTGGAAAATCTGGATAATTTTATACCAAGGAGCTCTTTTGGCCTCATGTGCCACTGAACAGCTTTAATATGAATGAACCTTGTATCCAGTTCTCTTTATACATCCATGATTACAACACTCACAGAGGCACAGTGTGACATCATTCTCTGCTCAGAGTGTCTTTACTCCACTATATCTTTACATATCAAACAGCGCTTTGCTGCTATATCAGTGCTATACATATAATAAGCGCTATACATACAAGTTCTCTTACGAGGCAAGTTCAGTTCAGCTGTTAAAAGCTGTCATCACCGTGTGAAAGCTTTACACATGCAATTGTTGAATCTAAATGGTACTGATATACTGTATTTGACATATGGATATAGTGCCATGTCTGTTTGCTTGCTTTCCTTTTTGTTTTCTCTTGTCTCTATAAGTGCAGGCAGGGTTTCCCCCATGGAAATTGTGTAGCCGAGGAGGTAAGCCACCCAGATGGTGACGCATCCTGTCTCATAATCAGTTAAGTTAGTAGATGATTGGCCTAAACAGTCGTGTTCATTAGACATATGGCATTTGTTGTGTGAAACAGCGCCTCTGCTTTGCCCAGTACAGGTTAAGGATTTATTATATATAAGTTTATTAATTTTAAAGATGTTGTTTAAAGAGAATGATAACTCAACAAGTGTTGAATTCATGAAAAAAACATTGTTTTTCTCACATGCCCCCATGGTAAACGAAGAGTCCAAACCCTGCAATTCATTCATTGGTGATGAATTGAAGTCAATGGGGGCCACATTTAACAACAGCAAAACTGTATTAAAACATCGGTTTACAAATTCTCACATAACTTGTACAGTATAACCCAAGTCTCATGTATCCAGTCTTATGCTCAGTACTTCCCAAACACATTGCTTTTCCTTGCCGTCAGCCATTTCTGAACAGAACTGAAAGAGCAAGAATAGATAATTTTCACTTTCAGTCCCTGCTGGAGAGGGCTGACCACAAGGTAATGCAATGTGTTTGGGAAGCACTGAGCATATGACTGGATAAATGAGACTTGGATTATACTCCACAAGTTGTGTGAGTTTGCAAACCAATGTTTTGATATAGTTTGCTGTTACTGAACATGGTCCCCAATGCCTTCAATTCATCAACAGTGTTTGCCATTTTCGATTTTTTGCTCACTGGACTCATGCAAGACAAACATTTTCTTCAAGGATTCAGCATCACATGGGGTGAGTAAGTGATACACAAATAGTTATTTGTGGGGTGGGATATTAACAACATGGCCCAGCACTGCTTAAAACAAAACCTTGCCATGTGTGTTAGTGCATGGAAACATTCATCCTTAATGCATTTGTCGCAGTACATTCATCAAAATAGGAAAGTAGTCTTGGATTAGTGGTTTTCCACCAAATTAATGTGTGGATGATAAACAACATTGCAAGTGCTGTAAGTCTCTTGAGCTCCCTCCGCCACCTGAGGCACTGTAAGTGTGGCTGTGAGCCAAAAAGTCCCAGGTCATCTCTTGAAAGCATCTTTGAGGAGGCTACTGTACCCTGAAGAGCATGAAAGTAGATGCAGTTTGAAGTTATCACCCTGTCTCTGTCTTTTTTTTCTCTCTTTTTTTTTCTTCAGTTCAAATTACCATCGTAAGAAGCCGAAAATATTTGCAAGAGAGGTTGTACAATCACTGTATAATCCTTCTCTTTGTGTGCGTGTGAGACTCTACAGCAGGGATACTCAACTTGTTTTGCCCAGGGGCCACTTTTGCAATATGAGAGGAGGCCAGGGGCCAGTTAATAAACAAACATTAATCATATTTATCAGCAAGGGCATATATATATATATATATATATATATATATATATATATGTATATATATATATATATATATATATAGACAGTGCACTGGGGCCTGTGAGGTGGGGGGCCCACTGAGAGGGTGGGCCCTCCAACAATGTGTCTCATTGAATTACAACCAGTGCCATTCGCTATAAATGCCCTTGAAAAAGGGAAACCCATCTGCCATTTTTATTTTTCCTTTTTTTTGTATAATGGTCAATAGCAACTATAACAAAATTATATGCTTATTCTATAACTATAAATTACCTCTTCTATAAGTCAAATATTCTACAACTATAAATAAACTATTATAAATGATAAATTAAATTAATAATTTCTTATTTTCTCTATTATTTTTTGTTATATACAGATATGTAATGATGCCTGCTGGGTATTATATATGGTGATGTTATCCGATGTCAACTCACTCTCACGTCTCATGTCATGTGACGAGAGGATATGTACATGATTGTGTGCACTCTGGTCCTTCATAATAGCGTGCACTGGGGCCCATCAACTACGCCACTGTTTATCAGTATACAAGAAAGTAACTGCCCGTTTTTGACCTTTGGACGTTTGGTGCTTTCTCATCTTTGCCAAGAGGCAAATTTAGTGACAGCGGCCCCTCACAGGTCAGGTGTATGCAGGGGTGTTTCTAAGTTTTGTGGATATTCAGGTCTAAACCTGGACTCTGTTGAGGGGTCTGGGGAAATCCTCTTCTGGCACTTTTTTAATATAAAAAAAGCTCTATTTTGATGGTTGTTTTCTGCACTCTGGCACCTTATCTACATTCAAAGCACACACAAAAAAATCCCAGTGTGAATCAATATGTTTTACCTGAGAATCAGAGAGTGGTCAGCGGGCCACCAGGCACCCTGTTGTGGGCCAGGTTTAGCCCACAGGCCATAAGTTGAGTATCACAGTCTTTCCTTGTGGCTGTTAGCCTCAGGGTATGTTGACTGTATCACTGTATTGAATTGTTACCTTAAACATGCACTGAAGATGCCTTCCAGTGCCTCTGTAACACTGGAAAATATTCATCAAGACTTTTTATGACTCCACGTGCCATATCTATGTGTAACACATAGGTGTTTTGTGTTTTATATCTTGACCTAGTTGAAGAACTTTTAAGTGTCGGATTGTTTAATTCAGTTCTGTGTGTGTGTCTCTCATTGCTGCACCTCTGATCTGTCTCTCCCTCCTTCTCTCTCTCCCTCTCTCCTCTCCTCTCTCTCTCCTCCGGAGCTTATCTCGGTGCGCATCGTCAGCATCAGTTTGAAGTCAAATCTGACAGCCGCTGCCTTGCCCGGTCCTTTTTCCGTCTCTCTCACTCTCCGGTGGTCATCCCGGCTCGTTTACGAGGTACAGTCCCGGATTAGCGGGCTAAACGTGTGTAATTATTGATGTACTTTTTGGGGTTGGGTAGGTGGGAGGAGAAGGGGGGTTGACCTCGATTGCCGTCCGGGATGTGAGAGTCTCTAGGCTGACGTGCTTTCCCCTCAATGTGGTCTTACCTTTTCTCTCTTTGCAGTTGAGTCGGGACTGTGGGAGCGCGTCTGATCGCTGTCTTCAACTTGGGGTGAAGAAAGACACGGGAAACTCCTCGGGATTCTCCGTACACCGAGCTCTGATCTGGATATTCTGGTGAGCACACTTCAAAAAACAATCTTGCTCTTTATTCCTTTTACGCAAACATGTGAAAGTGCTCCATGTGATGTGTTGTGCTGATGTGAAACGGGCGTGTCTAAATAACCCGGGTACTTTTTTCTTCTTTTTTTTGTTTTTATTTTTTATTTACTTGAATTGCCACCGTGAAACACTTGAAGAAGCGTTTCATGAATTGTTTGCTCGTGCCAGGAGCTGGAAAAAAGGCAGCGTGGTAGCGCAGCTCGGTCGCTCCTCTCTTTCAATTGTTTTTACCCCATGGCTGCGAAGTTGGCGCTTATTATGCATGGGAATTAAACGTGGGCCATTTGTGACTATTATCAGTCTGTATTCTTATCACGGAGGGTGAGGAGAGTAAAATACAGCCGGCCGGGGTGAGGGAGAGAGGAGGGGAGGGGGATTAGGTGAGAGGAGTGTGAGAAGAAAGAAACATTTGAGGGATCCCTCAGGGAAGCTTCCTTTCTTTTATGAGAGAGATTTTTATTACTCTTTTATTTCTTCACAATGATGACATTGTGTGATATTGTTCTAAAGCCTCTACTTGATATGCTATTATTGTTGGAGCCATTACTCCACACCATGTATATATAGTGACATCCTACAGTACTTGCTGGCTGTGCTGTAGGCACAAATCTATGGGGCCATTTGCTGCTTTTATTGTCCTGTTTATCAATTAAGCTTGTCTATAATGGAGATATCACACTTCCTCCAACATAAAACATTACTCTCCCACACACCATCCGTTAGCATCTCACCTCCCACATAGCCACACTTGCTGTCCACAGCCGATTATCTGGTTATGTGCCACCATTTGCACTAATAGAGAGTCCCTACTTAATGTAATGACAACTCGATCTGTCAGCCCATGCACAACAGAGGGCCGCTTAAAGGCTCATAAGCGGTGTCATCAAGGGCAGATTGAGAAGCCGTAAAGACACAGAGGGCATGACAAAGTGCTGGTGGAGGTTGTTTGAGCAGTTTTGCTGATGTGTTTTATTGTCCATGTACAGTATGGGGCCGTCAATGTGAAACATGTACCCAGGAACGTGTATGTGTGTGTGTGTGTGTGTGTGTGTGTGTGTGTGTGTGTTTCTTGGTGCGTGTGGCTGTTTGTGTGCCAGCTTTGCTCAGTCATGTGTATGCAAGGAAAGAATAAGTGAGCAAAAAGAAAAGAGGGACAGATAGAGGGAGGGAGAGAGGGAGAGATTATGCTAACTCAAAGTATTGGAGGAAGAGGAAAACCCATGTAAGCAGTTTTTCTTTTAGCTTATATATTTTATATTTAGCTGTCAGGGCTTCACTGATACACAGTAGGTTCTTCTGGCTTTGACATGCTTGTCACCAGCATGAGATTTATATGAAAGAAGGCCACTGCTTATTTTAGCTTAGCTACGCGACTGCAAGACAAACAAGGGGAGGCTAAGAGGATTGACCAAACAAGACCACTAACTTAAGTACAAATGAGGGCGACTTATAACTCAGGTAACGAGAGGGAAATATGCTGGACAACAGTTGAGGGTCTGCTGTGCTGTGTCCCAAATCAGTTTTCGCAGTGGCAGTGGCAGTGTTGATTATTTCTTTGATTAGTCGACTAATCATTTTATCGAATCATCTGATGTCTTGTTTCGTACTCACGCCAAAGGGTTTTAGTTCACCGTCATGAGAGTGTGTGAAGCTGCCAATATTTGAACGTAAGAAGCTGCAATGAGAGTATTTTGGGGTACTCTTACAGTACTTTTCTATGAAAAATGACTCGAACCGATTAGTCGACTATTTAAATAGTCACTGATTATTTTAACAGTCGATAAGTCATCGATTAGTCGACTAATCGTTGCAGCCCTAGCATCAAACATTGAATTTCCTGTATTCTGGTAAATTTTTATGCACCAATTTGTCTTTTTTGTATCAATTATTAGTGTAAATGTCTTTAATTTTGTCAAAATAAAAGTTGTCTGCTGCTTAACATTTTTATTAAGGGGACAAATTCACATTCTGAATGTTGAAGTGGACGTGTCCTCCGTGTGCCCCCCAAAATCTACGCCTATGGTGCAGTAAGAAATGATGCACTACCAGTGAGGGAGGTGAGCTGTGGATATTTGATCGTCAGAATTTATCTCATGTTCCAACGGGCGAAAAACATTTTTTATATGCAGCTGCAATTGAAATTTCCTGTTTCTCTAAAACTGATTGAAGTAGAGAAGAATTTTAAGCAAGCTTTGAGGAGATAGCTAACAAAAAGTCTCTCAGAAAAGAGACGTGCACAACGTAACACTGTGCTGTCCTCTTATGTTTCTTTTATTTCTATATGTGATTATATGCATATTTTATTTGTGCCAGTCGGTCTTGACAGACGTAACATCTTGCCCTAACCCTCCACTCAGAGGATCACAATGGAAAAAAGCCTGTGGCTGCATTGTGTAACTTAATCTGCAACAGTTGTAGATGTGTGTGACAACTGTCTTAAAGTGAAGCAGCTGTGTGTGTAAGTCATGATTGTCCAATAGTCTGTGTATCTTCTAGCTGCATTTAAAGTAAAAGCATTAATGTATTAAAGGAAAGTTATTTCAGCTGGTGAGTATCCTGTGCCATCCCTGCTCAGTTTACCTCCTCTTCAGATGGGTTTCCATGTGGGATTCACACGGATGCTTCAGTAGAGATTTTGACCCTCATCGTACACATGGCCAGGCAATCATGCAAAGAACCAGTCATTTAGCCTCGCCGACCCCCATCACTTTTTTGTCAGGTGAAAATGAGATGATGTATTCTCAGATGATGTGCCGAAACGGTGTCGCTTATGGCAGTCGAGATGATGATGATGATGACAGCTCTCATACTCTTAATAATATAGATCATCTGATTATCACTGATAAAAGGGCAGCACATTATGAAAAAATAAATGAATTTTGCGATTACTTGGACAGATATTGCGATATGAGTCACGATTATAGTGAGAATGACCATTTTTGCATTTCATTTTCACTGAAAAAAAAAGATGATGTCATTTTGGTGGGGTCTGTACTAAACAAGCATGTTCTCTTATGTCTGGAGTAAGAGGTGCATCTCCTTGTCACCACAATGCTTCATTTATAATGATGTGTTATGACATATTTTACCTTTTTTAAAAAAAAAAAAAAAAAAAAAAAAGATTGCGGCTCCTGCGATTTGGATATTGCACTCGGTCAAATTGTGACTCAAATAAAATTTTAATTAACTGTGCAGCCCTAACTGACACTAATAATAAAGCAGCTAGATGCATGACATCATGGTGATAATTGTGTTAACAGCACTGCAGTCAGGAGCAGGGCGCTACAGTTCTACACCAGAATAAGATCAAAAGCACTTGATTTCCCAGAATGCTCTTCACTCTAAGAGCTGTGCGACTTTTATTGGAACGGAGGCAAACACCGGGTTAAGGGGGCTTTCTCAAGAAGCAGACAAGTTGAGTGTCTTTTTGACAGCATGAAAGAATGGATCTACTTGTATTCGGTGTTGTTGTTGTTAAGATGGTGGGCTGGCAGCATCATCACAGTCTTAAGAACATGACAGTCCGTGCAAAATGGTAGCGGCGTACAAAGCCAATCCTGATATTTCCATGTGACAGATTGTGTGTGTGTGTGTGTGTATATGTGTGTTTTTTTCTCTTTTCTCTGGTTGTTGTTTGTTCTCTCAGACACACACTCACGAAATCACACATAACAGGCACATACGAATGTACTTACGCACGTTATCTAATTTTTAACATGGGCTAACATGACAAACAAAGCGTTCAACACGTTCTCAAAAAATACCCAAAGCACATCGATGCAGGCCTGCGGTCACACTTGCCTACACACTTAGGTAAAACCTTATTGTGTCTTGGATGTATCCGCCCATCCTGTCATACAGTACATGGCCTTGGGCTTAAAAATATCTGAGCACAGACACACATGCCCACAGACACACACGGTTTCAGCAGGGACAGCCCTAGTGAGCTGGCACCAAACCAAAGAGCTGGTGATAACGAGGTTGAAGTTAGTTAGGATTTTAGCTGCGCCTCAACCTCCTAACACCCTTTCTAAATCTGATTCATCCCAAAATGAGATGTTTTTCCAAGAGAGGGAGATGAAAACATTCTCTCTCTCCCTCTCTCTGTCTTTCTCTCTCCCTCCCTTCTTCCCTTGCCAAATACAGTTGAGCTCACCCCCCCTCTTTCTATTACTCTCATACTCTCACACACTATCTGTTTCACACCCCATTCCTCCCTCCCGTTCTATCACATCTCTCTCTTCTCTCCTCCCCTGGCACCTCGATGTGTTTCTCTTTAATTGAGATGCATTTCAATGTGGTGCAAATTAGCTTTCTACAGCTCCAGTCTAAACTTGCAACCTGTGTGTGTGTGTGTGTGTGTGTGTGTGTGTGTGTGTGTGTGTCTGTGTCTGTGTGCCTTTGCATGTATGTGTGCATGTGTAATCTATACGTGAGTGAGAGTGTGTGTGAAAAGAATTCCCACAGTTGAAAGTGAAGGCGCTACCTTCCTGTTCGTTTCTCCAACGCATCTTGTGATGCCTCCTCTCTCCCACAAACTTACATTTTTAGTACAGCATTAATAGCGCTCACTGGTTTGGACTCCTTTAGTTTGTGTCTCTTGGCTGGAGGTATTTGCTTGCCCCCCTCTCTCTTCGGATTTGAATTCAGATCTGTGCCTCTGAGAGATGACAGCGCATGGCAGCTCATTAGGGAGAGGGCCGGAAATCAGGAGGGTCAAGAGGGCTTTATGAAGACATGTTTCAGTTATGCAATGCTTGTCTTTCTCAGCTGATCTGATCTGGTGCTGTTTTGCTGAAGGGAAACGCTGGCTGGTGATATTCTGTACACTGGGCAGGGTGAGGGCACGAGTGCAGGGGTGTTTTTTGAGTAACACGTTTTTTAAGTAACAAGCAAATCACTGCCAATTAATAAGTTATAGTAAGTTTTCTTCTCGTTTTAGAAACTTAGAAATT